CTAGGGGGCCGCAGGGGAGGACGGCATTAGGCTAGGGGGCCGCAGGGGAGGACGGCGTTAGGCTAGGGGGGCGCAGGGGAGGACAGCGTTGGGCTAGGGGGCCGCAGGGGAGGACGGTGTTGGGCTGGGGGGGTGCAGGGGAGGACGGCGTTAGGCTAGGGGGCCGCAGGGGAGGACGGCGTTAGGCTAGGGGGCCACAGGGGAGGATGGCGTTAGGCTAGGGGGCCGCAGGGGAGGACGGCGTTAGGCTAGGCGGGGCCGCAGGGGAGGACGGCGTTAGGCTAGGCGGGGCCGAGGGGGAGGACGGCATTAGGCTAGGGGGCCGCAGGGAAGGGCCAACATGATACCCTGAAACCCACCCTCATAACCAACCCGCTTCACCTCGGTCTCCATCTTCAATGTTTACCCATCCCCCGTGACGGTAGTCCCACGACATATGCTATGGCATCCTATTTCTTGTGTTGCCAGCAGGCCCACCTTACCTCACATATGTATGCTATCGCTCCTGTCGCTGCCCACGAATGCTGCTTTGCTGATGCTGCTGTCCATCTGCCAAAAGGGGGAAAGGGGGGCTTATATGGTGTGTTGTCCATAGGGCTTTTACATAGGGGACGGTAGCAGGTCGAATAATTATGTTTAATTCATGAACGTATGGGCCGTGCCTCGGTGCTGGCTTTGGTATGTGGGTTCTTAGCATGGATATGCCGATTGGGCGGTTGGGGCATCGAGTGGAAGCCATGTATGGGTGCAGTGCGGAGGTCGCGTACACACTGCGGCGGACGACGCGCGCACACACACACAGGGCAACCAACGTGCGCGCTGCCTTCACACCTTTTTATGACGCCTGGTGCTACAGATTTCTTCGCCGCGCATGCGTTGACACATTTCGTTGCACGGTCGCGTTTCTGATGGCTGCGTTGGGAACTGAAGCTATGGAAACAGGAGGCGGAATGCGAAGCAAAGCATTGACAAGCTGTTTTTCTTTTCCGTTGTTCACGATATTACAGCTGCGTGAGATGCTGTCGCGTCGCGATTTGGAATGTTTGTTAGCTGGTTGGAGTGGTTGTACGAGCCGTTGTATGAGCCGGTGCTGGTGCCGCTCTGAGTTGTTGTCGGCTTTTTTGACATTGTATGCGCTGTAATCGAATGCATATCGAGGATGCCGCACTTTGATACGCTATGTTGCTTGATTAAGCACAGTTTGCCAGGCGGTTGATGTTC